TAAAAAAAAAAAAAAAAAAAAAAAAAAAAAAAAAAAAAAAAAAAAAAATAAATAAATAAAAGCTAAATATAGAGAAATATAATAGATAAAAAGACATGATTATTTGTATAAATAAAGAAGAAGAAAAGATGAATAAATTGATCTAAAAAGAATAAAAATATAATTACAAAATAAATAGAAAAAAAAAAAATAAGAAAAAAAACGTACTTCTACAAGTCTTGTATCTAGACTCCATATACATCTAGATATAGTTGCAAATAAATAAGATAATTGGGAATCAAAAGATAATCCATAAATAGTTTTTTGTTTATATATTTTTATTGTTAATATACAACTAGCTAAAAAATTCAATAAATAACCTAATATAAATAACCATATCTCCATCTTCCTCTTATTCCTATTCCTACTAATAATAATACTAATGCTACTCTTGCTCCTCTTCCTGTTCCTCCTGTTGTTGTTGTTGTTGTTGTTGTTGTTGTTGTGGTGGAGGTGGTGCTGCTGCTGTTGATGGTACTGTTGTGGCTATTGGGGTGGTGGTGGTGCTGGTGGTGGTGCTGCTGCTGCTACTGCTGCTGCTGCTATTACTGCTGCTGCTGCTGCTGCTATTGCTGCTGATGATTATGATAGTAATGGTGGTGGTTGTCCTTATTTATCCTTGTGTTGTTGCTGTTGATCGTTGTGCTGCTGCCCTCTTTGGATGCTGCTGCTGCACTTCTGCTGCTGCTGCTGCTGCTGCTGCTGCACTTCTGCTGCACTTCTGCTGCTGCTGCTGCTGCTGCTGTTGCTGCTGCTATGCCTTCCTCGCCTTCTACGGCAGGTCAGGCTGTTCGCTTAGTAGCGATTATTATGTTCTTATTGTTGTGGGAACTCCTAACCCCTGCTGCTGCTGCTGCTGCTGCACGTGCTGCCGCTGCTGCTGCTGCTGTTGGAGACTATCTGGGGCCCAGTGGCGTGATGAATAGGTGTCCATACACCCCAACAAAAAAAAAAAAGACAAAGACAAGGAGACACTCCTAAGAGATGCAGCAATACTTGCTGCAGCTGCTGTTGTCCTGCTGCTGCTGCTGCCTCTGCTGCTATAACTACAACAACAATAGCTGCTGCTGCTGCTGCTGCTGATTGCTGCGGGGTTGTAGAGAGACACTTCGGCCTCTTATAGATTTCGCACTACAATCGCAATTGCTGCTGCTGCTGCTGCTGCTGCTGCACCTCTAGAAGGTTCGTATTTGCTGCTGCTGCAGTTGCTGCTGCTCTTCCTACTGCTGCTGCTGCTGCTGCTGTTCTTCTGCTTGTACTGCTGCTGCTGCTCGGGAGTCACCCGAACAGAGAGACGGCTTCCCTGCTCACGTTATATAAAGGAGACCGCAGCTGCTGCTGCTGCTGCTGCTGCTGCGATAAAATGTAAGAAACTACACTACAGATACACCATAAAGTGTCTCCTATATCTAACCTGGAATAATATAACCAGTTGCTGCTGCTGCTGCTCATGCTGCTCATGCTGCTCCTGCTGCTGCAGCGGCAGCAGCAGGTCTCCTGTTGTCGTGCGGAGCAGCAGCACAGAGGACAGGAGCGCTGCTGCTGCTGTACTTCCTGCTGCTGCTGCTGCTGCTTTTGCTGCTCCTCCTTAACAGAAGAAATATATTTTTTATTTATTTAAAAGAATAAGAATAAACAAACAAATATTCAACTTGTCTCTCTGGCTAATTTACGCTTCCGTGCTGCTGCTGCTGCTGCTGCTGTTGCTGCTGCTGCTGCAGTCTGCTGCTGCTCCTGCTCCTGCTCCTGCTGGCCAGCAGCTCTACATACACATCAAAGGCAGCAACGACTGTATCATCAACTGTCTCCTTAGGTGTACATACACATAAATATACACCTAGTATAGAATCCCTAATAACAACAGCAGCAGCAGCAGCAGCAGCGCAGCAGCAGCAGCACAGTAGAAGGCCAGGTGCACTGCTGCAGAAGACAAGCTGTCCCGCAGCAGCAGCAGCAGCAGCAGCAGCAATAGCAGTAGCAGCAACTGAACTCGCAGCAGCATTTGCTGCTGCTGCAGTTTTACTAATAGTTGTAGCACTAGCAGCAGCAGAAACAGTTCGAGCAGCAGCAGCAGCAGCAGCAGCAAACAATGCGTGTACCGAGCATCTG